AAGATAGGTGGTAAACAGTGAGATGCAAATATGCAATAAATATTGTCACAACTTTAGTTGGAAGAAGAAAAAAAAAATATAAAGAAAAAACAGAAATTCCTAAGTGGGGTCACTGTAGATAAGTTGGAGGAAAAAAGTCAAAAACTAGAACTAAAATTGTAATAAAATAAAAAGAAAAAGCAAATATGGGCGCTTAATTATGCGGGGATTGTGGGTGGAGTGATAAATAATAGTCCCACATACATCGAGTGTACAAAGCATGTGCTCTCCAAAGATAAATACATAATTTTCCAAATATAAACAGATTTACTGCCACCAACGACCAAACCTTCCATTGCGCTTTATGTTTTTGGTGGGGGCCCACCTATGACTTTTTTTTTTGTTGCCTTTTATTTTAAAAATAAAAAATAAATAAAGGTATACAAAATTTTCATATTTTGGTCACTGAATTATTATTTTGAGACTTTTAATTAAATTCTAGAGGAGAAAATTGTATTTTTTCTTGAAATTTTGAAGTTTAAACCACGACGGACTTTTTCGGCAACTGGATACTAATCTTATTTGATTTTTTAAGTGGTCCGACAAAAAATAAAATAAAATCGACTTAGTTATTGTTCCAAAGAACAATAACTAAGTCGCAGTTACTAAAACGTCAAGTGAATTGAACTGAATATAAACAAAAGGTTAATTTCCACTATATTGTACTTAATTATAAAAATTGATAAAAAAAAAAGATTATAAAAATTGAGAAGTGGTGATTAAGTTAAAATTAAGAAAACCTTCCTTTAATGCAACTTCACCTTTTTCTTTCTTCTTTTTCTTGCTCTTTTATCCTTGGCTGTCTTTCTTTTTCTTTTCTTTATTAAAGAATCCCTTTTTTAGTGCTTTTAACTCTTATTAGATGAATTACAAAAATGTATATGACTAAAACTTAAACACCTCTTCACATCAGTTATAGCTAATAAAACGACTTTCCTTTGTTTGCTCCGCTGTATAGTTATAGAGCTTCTATATATTGAAGATATATAATGCTGATACTTTAACTCAAAACTGGCAAAAATTAATCTCAAGAAGATAGCATTAGAATTACATAAGAGNCTCTTTAGGTATTATTAAAAAAATAAAAATAAAAACTCTCTTTAGGTGCAAAAAAAAAGAAGAAAATTTTAGTTTGGCTTTATTTATTGATAGATAGGCAGGATATAAATCTCCATCAGCTAACTTGGCTGAAGGGATAGAAAACAGGACCATCCTTCTATTTATTTTACATTCAATTCCTTGTGCCTACAATTTAAATTGGACCTGACAATCTTCACATCACTTGAAATTATTAGGCAAAATGCACAATATTAAAGTTACACAATCTTATTAAATTATTATGTAGCAGACAAAAATAAATAAAATAACATCATCAAAGTAAAAGTATGTTGGCTAAAAATTACTACCATTTGTTATATTAGTTTTGAATTTGGCCCCTTATTGCAATGTTGATCATAATATGATTTGCTGCATTTTATTTCAGTTATTTATATTTCGTGGCTCAGGCATTAATTTTTTCAACCATGAAACTCATCTACTATTATATTTTGAATTTAGTGGCTTTTAATTCATTGGGTTGCCCATTTATGATTGATATAACAATATCAACCATAAGATTGAATGTTTTTTATTGTAATTTATCGTTCCGATATGCAAGTTCTGATTATTTGAACTTAATTGCCCACAACATTGTGTGAAATTTATTTAATGGGTCAATTAGTTTGTTATCAACACTAGGATTTTACATGCAAAAATGTCAAAATTTGATTCCATTTTCACTTTAATTGAAATAATAGTGGCTGTTTACACCGGCCTAACAAATACAGACGGTTGATTTAAAATTCACATATTTTTAATATGCTTATTCGTGAAGAGTGAAGATTGTGTGATATTCAATTCAATACTCTTATTCTCGTAGTCATATATTTTTTATGTTTTAAGAGCCTTTCTTGATTTATAAACTTTATCTTAATTAATGATTGATTGACAAAATTGGTCTGCAACATTACCAATTCATATTAATAAACCAAAAAAACAGGTGTATTATTTAATCCACGCCACCCAATTAAAAAGTAGCATAGAAATACTAAATTATACCAAATCATAAAATGTCAAGTTCACTTATGGCTGGTAGATGAAAGGATTATTGAAAATAAAAGACACGGTTTACTTAATCAAATCACTAAAATTCACGGTTAATTTGACCAAATCTCATCTTTTCACTTTGTCAACACCTTTTATTTGTTTTCTCATTGGGCCAAGCGAAATTCTTGCGTGATTAGCGGCACATGAAATTCCCATCTATATTTTAAAATGGGGCCCATAAATTATGTTCAAGCTAATTGTTTTTATTTTATTTTGTTCCATATTTTTTTCTTGTCCTTTCTGAATGTGTGCTACTTTTTGAATCAAAATCCGAAAGGTCTAACAATTAGGTGAGTTAATTTATTATACTAGTGAACAAAATATATGTATTTGTACTAAGTGAATAAATATGCATATTTATACTACAACTTATCGATTTTTGTTCACGTTGTTTCTTACGTATACTTTTTTTAAAAACAAAAAACAAAATTATGTATATTTATGAAAAAAAAATATATTTGTCTAATGATAGACCAACACAACAACAGAACCTAAAGCAAAATTAAAATTGGGTTTCATTATTTCGTTTTCCAAATTAAATTGGGAAAGCAAATTGGAAGTTGGAACATGTAACAGTCAATATTTTCATCAATGTTATTAAACCTACTTCGTAACGCCATGTGACTTGCTTGTTTAATTTTTAAATGAAGCCCATCCCAATAACGGTGTCCCCCACCTATAAACTTCAGCAACTGGTCCACATAATTTCAA